CAACTTATCTGCATACCCCAGTGGTAAAGATTTGATTAAGTTTAGACAAATAAAACACTTGCTTGAAGTTAGATTGCCTTCATGGTTAAAGCCCATATGTGAAGGATTTGACTACTATGTCTGGCAGTAATTCACCAGCTGACTGGACCTATTTTCATCAGGACTATTTTGTATTTCACAAACAAAAAACGTATGCTATAAGATTTTATAATTGCTTTATTATTCTACACATATGCTCTTTAAAAGAAAGCATTGTTGAATATTAATATATTAGGAGATTAGACATGAACCCTGATCTCTTGTCCCAAAGTCCCACCCTAACCACCGACCTTTAACTTTTTATAGCGCTACAAGAAAGTCATACTACTTTCTGCTTTGATACAGAGTGAAAACCGGTTATCTTAAGTTATAATTAGTGCTGTCATAGTCTAGAGAAGACAGTCTCCTGCACCATCACCTCCAGTAAACTTAACTAATCTGTGTTTAGCTTGCAGGGTTGCAGGGTAAAACCTGACATTTATCTGTAGAGACAAAAGTCAAAATGTCTTATATTAAACTTGATTTTAGCTGTGCTTAAATACCCAGAGATCACTAATAGGTGGACCACAGTCAAGATCCGGACCCAGATACCGTCCCATCTGGACCGGGACAAATAACTTAGTCAGAATTATTAAATTTCGCTACTCAGCTAATCATTGTGACAGGAGTCAGTCGGTGAGATACACACTCAGGGGAAAGACAATGTCCGAGTAATGAGGGGGGATAGTGGGATATAAGAGGGAAAGAAAGAGAAAAGGATTTGATAAAGTTTCTCATTTTGTAAAATGAAAAACTTTAACCGGACAACCACCACAACAAAAAGAGGTCTAACTGGACCTCTTTGACCTTTAATTGAACAGCCCTGTGCTACACTGTCTATGTTTGTCCAAAATACACCACAGGACAGTATCAGAAGCAGAAGACTGTGAGCTGATGTTAGTTACAGCTTTTGGTTTTGTGGTAGTACAGGGTGTAATTCCTGGCAGGCAATCATATCAACGTTGTAATTAATTAAGTTAATGTTACAGTATCTCATGCAACAGTGTGTTTTGCTCAGAATGATTCATTTTTCAAGTTTACAATAACCAGATGTCAAAACTACAGGGACAGAGCTGTGCAGACACTGCAGACTCAGGTAAGATTTTACATGAGCCCCAATTTATTAAACATTCATCCCATCTGAGCACGTTCCCTAGCAGCTGCTGTACACCGCTCGCCCTTATTGAGCACCGATTGAATAAATATGTCAGCTCTAATCAAGTTCTGCAGAAACACTTTGGTGTTTTGTAAGCCCGAGGCATGCTCTCTGGTGAAGAGTGGCAATAAGCTCCGAGGATGTAAACTTCCAAGGGATCTCATACTCAGACAAATGTCTTCACTGAGTCTGTTATAAAATCTGATATATGAACCCTTCCTCTCTACATTCTGTACAGCATCTGCAGTCATTTTGAATGTGTGTCTTCAAGTTGGGCCAAAAACTAAAGGTATAACTAAGAATAGCTACATTTAGGGTTGAAAAGACTCCTCATGAACTGTGATGGGTCAACTTGAGCTGCTTTGTTCATATTTCTATGTGTTCCAGGTGCTGTCAGTCTCACAAGACAACATTAAGCAGTTCAAAGAAAGACTCTAATCTTCTTGTGCCAACCCATTTCCAGGCCAGGCCTTTTCTTTTTTTATTTATTTTTTATTCATTTTTTAAATTTTTTTTTTTTCAGTATCACAAAGTATATTTCAGGTTTCTATCTAAAAATAAATGTACACTACTATTTCTATCAAATGGCAGAACCATAAATTATAAATCACTCCCTTTGTTGTGGCCACCTATTGTGTAACATCCCAAAAAGTATAATTCAAACTGCACTGCTGCAAATAATGACAGTCTTTGCCAGAAACTGTGTTTTAAGGTCATGACCACTTTGAGGCTCTTGACTGTAAAATTTGTACTTTGAGTCACACTAACAACACAGCTATGGGGATGGAAATATCAGTCTGTCAGAAGGTCGACATTCAAATATCTCAACAGCTCAAGGATTTCTGTGAAATTTTGTGCATACATTCATGGTTCTCAGGCAGTGGAACCTACCCATGTTGTTGACCCCCTGTCTTTTCCTTTAGTGCCACCATGAGGTTGAAATTTGTGCTTTTGAGTGAAATGACCTCAACACTATGGACTAATTTGTCCAGACATTCTCAAAATGAACTGTATTAATTTTGATGACTTTTCTTCTAGTGTGAACATGGCAAAGATACCTGCTGAAAAATAGTATGTTAGAACCGTTGTTTTGTTTCTATGAAATTTAATTCATCTAGAATTAAAGGTCCCATATTGTATAAAAGTAGATTTCTATGTCTTTGATTATAAAGCAGGTCTAGGTTCTATATTAATATTGTGAAAGTACCAAAGTGCTCAGTCCACAGAGAAATGCACACAGCCTGTATTCGGAAACTGAGCCTTAAAACGAGCTGTCAGGACTTCTGTAACTTTATGATGTCACAACAAAGCAGTCACTGCTCTCAGCAATGCCCGAAGCCCCACCCACCTGGACCCACCATCCAACCTTACAGGATTTGGTTTCTCTGAGTGTTTTACCTGAATTCTGCTATATATCTATTCCATCACTCAGAGTACAGTCAGCCAATCAGAACAGAGGCTCAGAGCCTCCAATTTTTCTGATTGGCTCATCGACTTGTTGTTGCTAGAGCTCCAGAGAGAAGTCTGAGAGAGGAGATGTGAAACTACATTGAGATAGTTTTTGGTTCTTAAAACCACAAATATATCGTTGTTGATATTAAAACTTCAAATAAAACACTGGAAAAGTGTAAAATACGGGACCTTTAATAATTATTTTTTAGAATAAAGAATGTTCTTGGTTGAATCTATGTTAAGTTTTTGACTCTAGCTTAACTGTTCATTCAGACTGAAAGTAGCGACCACATGAAAGTGACTGAAGTCATTAATTTTCTATGTGAGCCAGCATCTCTTGGGGTCAAACAGCGACATGCCCATTGGCGACGTACCTCGGGCGGTATGGGCATTCGAAAACGTCGAAGTCAAGGCAACTTTAGGGTACGGTAATGGGATATGACAAGGTTCGTCTGCAACCAATAGGAATGTCGGAGTGATCCGCACTAGAGGACACTAGAGAACACAACCATGTGAACTTTGGTTCCCATTAAACATTTGTTCCCAAGCTCAATAGAGGAGAAATTCATAATCGCTTTCCCCATCCTTTACGACGTGTCCCTTTTTGCTTACAGGGACTAAAACGATCCATGGACTAAGGTGTCTGACATTCTAGGTGTTCCAGGCGTGATGTTAAGGTGTAGCCTATGATATATTTTGTGATGATAGGAGGGAATTACATGCTTACTAGCTTTGCTGGCCTTTTAAATACAGTTTACAAGACCAAGCATCCTGAGCAAACTTGCAAGCTGCATCTACGTCATCTAAGTCAAAGCGCCCAGGAACTTCTATAGCGTCTATTGCTGTTGTACAGTTTTTGGTTGTCGCAGCTACTGAAAATCCTTTTCCATTCTTGTGATGAAGGGGATTTCATCTCTGGACCCACAGCACCAAGAGTGACTCAAATATTCTGTGCTGTCACACAGTTGGTATCTGTGGATCACCATGGATTTGATCAGTTTGGCTGCCTCACATGTAAAACCATATTCTTTCTGTTATTAAAAAAATGTCTGTATGTCCTAAAAAATAGCCTGGACATGTTTTAATGATTTAGTGAACCCAAAATGTCCTGAGAAAATAAACAAACATGACACAAACATCTATACAATGAACAGAGGACAGAAAATAGTGGCAGAAGAGAATCGTGTCTGCTTTGTTATGCCTTGTTTTCAAACGCAACAACAACTAGAACAACATGCTGAGACTGCGCTGATATAAAAGATTCATCAGTGTCAAAACTTCATTCATACATTATTAGATTATGCACATGCGGCAAGTCAAACCCAAACGTCTCAGGTGACTGTAGACGAGGACAGACAGACAGACAGAGACAAAGACCAAAAGCAAAACCCAAACTGGCTTAAGATTTGGATTTAAATTGTTCACTTTACTCTCTGCAAACCTTCAAAGGGCAACCTTCACTCTCTCCAGATTCTCTGATTTGCTGTTTCTGCCTCAACAGCGATAACCTTCAGGTCAACCTCTTCTCTTCTCCCTTTATGGCAGCATGTCACTGTGCTATCCTCATCATTACCGCCCCAGAATTCAATATAGATTTTAAAACAAAAAATGATCTAAGTTGTATTTATACAAAATGGTAAGAAAAGCACTGAGCAATTCACACTACTTCATAAAGCCACAGAGCAGTGACTGTGAGAAACACAACTGAGGCACTTGAAAATAGCTCTAAATATTTTAGTAGGAATTTGTAAGATGTTTGTTGTTAAGCAACAGTCTTGATATTAGCATCAAATCAAATGGCTGTGACATGAAAGGGTTGCTAGTGCCAAACCCACTGGGAATCAACAGCCTACTCTGCAGCTGCATTTTTGTTAGCTGATTGTCTGTAGGCCTTTTAACAGCAGATATTTTGATATGTCATAGCAAGAAGAGCACATGCGTGACTGACTCTTATGTCCAGGACTGCTCTGTTTGCTGTGTTTTGCAGGTAAGCTGGAAACTCCTCCGTCAATCATTGTCCTCTCTGCCACCTGCTGGCTGACCTTTAAAATCCCACGCTAAGCTCCACCCACTCTTTCTCACACTGCAGCCAGGATCAGCAGCATTAGTACCAGTAACCATTTCCTGCCTATTTTTTCATCTTTTGTTTATTTGCTTTGCAAATCATAGGTCTTGTTTGACTGTGTCTCTTCCCTTGAGCTGGGGTCGAAACATATTTGGAGGCTCGTCCGGGATCATTACATCCAGGGGAGTTGAGTTGTTTTGTTGTTTTAGATTGAGCAATCCTGTGTTTGTTTGTTTTCAGTGGTGTGTTGTGTAACACTGTGGCTGTGGGCTGCTGTGTTTCCCCTCCTGGTGAGTATATGGTAAGTATAGTCTGAGTGCTGTTGACCTGAAGTTGACATTGATCTCCCTGGTTAATTAGAGAGTGCCAGCTGGACTGAGTAATCCGTATTATCAGTCACTCATTTGGTTTTTTTTTGTGTGCCTTTTTTATTTTTGATGTAATCCTGGGTGGAGAATATTTTCTCCGGTGTGGGTAAAAACTTTAGGTCCATATGGCTGAGGCTTACTGAAGTTTTGCTTGCTTGGTAGCTGGTGATTTAATCAGTTACAGGTTAAAGTTGGCGCTCTGTTTAAGTGTCCGTGATCCTAACTTTATGTGTTGCGCAGCTTTTGTATTGTCAAGTGGTGGTTGTGTAACTTGACTTTGTGTAGGCAGTTCTCTCTGTGTTTGTTGCTCGATGGATTGTTTCTAGTCCTCCTTTTGTGATTATGGTTTTGGTAGCCGTTAGATAGAGAGAGTGTTTGTGATTTGGCAGCTTGTGTGGTATGGGACACTTTGAGCTGTGTGTGATGCGCATATTGGTTTCAGTTGAAATTTCAGATTTCTGGGGCAGTTAACCATTTGTTTAGATGTAGGAAAGTTGTCTAGTATGGCAGCACTTTTTGACTTCATTAGTGCACCTTCAGAGGAGTTGCTCGAGCACTTCACTAAAGACCAGCTCTTTAAACTTGTCTTTGCTAACCGAAAACTTCAGCAGGGATCAGCAGCGTTGCTATGCTGCCATTTCCTGCTTCCTTTGTCATCTTTTTGTTAGTAATAACCTTTGCTTTGTGAATCATAGGTGTTGGGGTCGAGGTCGTAACTCTGATAACTTAAACAACGGCTGCATTCAATGTAGGCGTGCTATCGCTAATTTTACGCCACGACCTATGACAATGCATATGTCTACTGTGAAAAAGGCTAACAACTTGCTAAAACAATGGTATAACAGGTTAATTGCCAGTGTCTGTTGCTTTTATTAATCACATGCATAGCACCACACAGAGTCTCTGTGACATCAGTCTGTGCACTGCTACACTAGCCAATGTTTTTCTTTTCAAGTCCTATTAAAAGTTATGGGGAAAGTATTGCTATCAGCTGTTTTTCTTCTGTACCTGCAGTGGATGTTTGCTTGCTCTTAGTATTTAACAAAATCAGACAAGTTAGAAAAACACTGTTATCAAAGAGAGAGAGACAGGCAAAACTTTACACTTCAGGCTGTGTTCTAATGATGTGACAAAACTGCTATCAGAAAAGGGCTGCAATTTCATCATAAGGTATTTTGATGTGGCTTTGACATCAGTGATTAAGGAGGATAGCATGTGATAAGCAGTAATGGGCTGTCAGTGTATTATCTAGTGTCAAGGAAAGGTGATGCAGGAATAGAAAGGAGCAGCAGGAGGCAGGGGGGAAGAGAGAGGACAGACTCATATGAAAGAAAAGTGCTGCTGACAGTTCCACCTTTTCCTGAGGCCATTTATGTTATTTTGTAAAACAGATTTAAAACAGACAAAACAGAGAGCATCAAATCATCAAATCATTTTCAATAATTAAACTGGAGCTCAACTGAACCTGAGAGCACCAGTTGCTCTGAGCTAATTTTCCGAGGAGGAGATAGAAACAGACCGAGCACAGAGTATGCTGACCTAAATGCAGACTTTCCTCTTATTTATCTCCATCTGTTATTTACCAAAGCACTTTTCTCTGGCTGCTGCAGAGTGACTGGAGAAGTCCCTGCATTCTCCTCATCTCACTGCTTACATTTTACAGATGGCTCCCAGATGGGTCAGTATACAGACCTTCCTGGAAACCTATTTTGTGAAGGGACTGCAAACAATTAATTTGGTTTACGGTAAGATAATTCACAAATAGAAGAGTAATTGTTTTCTCTTTGAAGCCGTTATGAACACAAAATCTTCAGGGGATGCATGTGACCCCTTTGTTTACAATGTTTTATTACATGTATAACCCTGCACCTATTCATTCAGCTGCAAACTAATGGCAAATGACTATATGAAGACATTTTGTAGCAGAAGATCATAAAAGAATCATAATTTGACGTATGATGCTTATAATGTATTCAATATATTTATAATGCATCATTATTTTTTTAATAAATTACATAAATAATATGTTTTACTTAATAGTAGAGAGTTATATTCTCGATGCATCTGTAAGCTCCTGAAAAATCAGGCATTGCAACGTTAAAATAAAAAATACAATCTATTATAACATGCATGGCAATGCAACATTATATGATGGTATTAAGGTGTGAAAAATGAACTTCAGCTGAAATGTCAAGAGTACTGTTGAAAGTGAACGTGTGGATGATGGCATGAATGGGAATATAGGAAATTATGGGAGGTATAGCTACCTTTTTTTTTAAAAAGGGCCTCTTGTATTTTAAAAGTAAGTATAATAGATGTTCCTGCTCTCCTCCAGGTTGCAGCTCATCTTGTTTTTAGTTCCTGTAAACAAGAGAACAAAAATGCCAAGTTATTTAAAATGGCTTACATACCTGCATGACAAAAGTTGTAATCCTGACAGACATTCGCTCTTGGGAAGAAAACAAAGCTCTTGGAAGCACTGACAGTATATTATGGTGTATTATTGCTACACATGAGGCTTATTTACATTCTTTTACAATTTTAGTCTTTAGGGCAAAACAGATTTCTTTTGAGTCATGATGTAATATTACAAGAATCTTGTGTCTCCCCCTAAGTCATAGAAATTCAGTGCAAAGTAAATTAATAATAAAATCAAACTTAGTGAAGCTCACATAAATCCACACAGATTTACATAAGTGATGATGCTGTGAGACAGACCAGTGGACTCTGCTGTAGATAGACAGGGAGGCCACTGTGTACTATTTAAAGATAAAAGTAGTGCAAAAGATGTGTGAAAATGTAAAATGACCAAAACAGCAAAATGACCTCCATGTGCTAGTGGCACCAGTGGCAGCTGGTTGAGCAAGGTAGACTATGTATGCCACATCCTCCAGCAATGAGATAATGATCCCTCCACTATGTTGTAGACTTGCCCTAGGCTCTTCTCCCAGCGGGACATACCCAGAAAAACTCCACAGCAAGGTGTCCAGAGGCCGTCCCGATCAGCTGCCTGAACCACCTCAACCTGAAGGTAAGAGAAGGAAACCCATGTCAGCCCCTTGTACCTGTGATCTCATTCTTTTGATCAAAACCCAGAGCTCATGACCATAGGTAAGGGTTGGAGGTCAGCTTCCTCCTCATCATACTTTCCTCACCTTCCAGACGCTTAAGCAGAAGGTGGGCACGATGGCCTCAGATCATGGCTACCAACTTTCATCATTAGCAAACTGCCTCAGTTCTTTTCTAACGAAGCCATTCGGAGCTGCATCATCAGCATAAACGAGAGATATGAGCCTGATTTCCCAATCTGTCAAATTACAAACACAATTGGTGACAAAGCACAACCCTGGCCGATGGCCACAGAGAACGCATTTGACTTGTTCTCAATCAGGTTGTACAAGGACTAGTTTGCTGACAGCAATGTCAAAAACTGCTGATCTACACAAGCTGTTATCCTCACACCGCAGGCATTGCAGCTCTGCAATTAAATGCATCTGTACTCAGAAGGATTGGCAACAGAGAGAGCGGCTGGGCGTTTGAAGAGTCTCAATTGTCTTTGTGCTATTGGAGGCTGTGTTTGTGTTTTCCCCAGAGGCCCCACAGAGCGCGGACCCAAGGGAGCCGAGAAAAGTGAGCCTGTGGAGCGCAGCGACATCGGGAACAGAGGCAAAAGAAGGGAGGCTGAAACCTCAAGGACAGAGAAGCAGAGGTTTTTGAATGTTGTCAAAAAGAGACCTGTGGACGGCCAAAACAAGCCTGAAAAGACTCGAAGCTTGTCTGCACAAACAGGAGAAAAGACTAATACATAAACAGCCTCAATGTTTTTTCCTGTACCTCACAGTTTGAATTCTGTTTTATTTTTAGTTGCTTGTTTTTAGTTGGCTGTCTACTGGATTTTTTTAACCATTATTTATTGTGCTACACATCTTTTTGTAATAAACATGTTTTTTTAAAAAAATATTAATTCTAAAGTACCTCTCCATACATATCTTAAACTATGTAACAATCAATTTTGTTTAAAATGGTTTTCCAACATAAAAATTGAAAGAAAGAAAAACGGCTTATTGCCTTAGGTTGACAAGTGAAATAACAGAGAGTATCAAGATGGTTAGAGGAGGAAACAGCCACATGTTTATATATCACAATGGTAAGTGTAGTTATTTGTTTATGTTGCTTGTTAACTTGTAGCTGGCAGTTGGCTGATACAGTGTTGGTGGTTGTGCTAATGCAAACCCTCGCTCTCTGTACCAAGTCTGTTTGAATGACATTGCGTATCCCGATAGTTAGCATTAAAGGAGACACTGCGGAGACTCAGCGACACGTTTGAGCCTCAGTCAGACCCAGACTCAGGTGAGGAGTCTGTTGTGATCAAAACCAGTGACTAACAGACATGTCAGAGCAGTTAGCATAGTTAGCATCTTTTATTTGTTTATGTTGTCTGTTAGCTTGTAACCGGCAGTCGCTGACAGTGTTAGTTGTTGTGCTTATGCAAACTCTCTCTCTCTCTCTCTGTACTGACACAGCTTCAGGTTTATTTAGGCACACCCCCGTCCTCGTAAGTTGACAGGATTGGTAGGTTATATGAGATTTAAAACTCTGGCTGTCTGAGCCTGTCTTTATGAGACTGTCATTGGGTTCACTGCAGTTCTGAGGTGGAAATACTCAGTCATGGTGTTCACTGATTATTTTGCACACGAATGTATTATATAAAAAACATCATATGGACATGTCAACAAGGTTAAAAACTAGCTGAATTGTTAGAGAATTAGGGGATCTGTTAGAGCTTAGCTTATAAATATATTTAACATTGATACTTGAGACGGTAGCTCTCTGATTTGCTCTTGTGTTGACACAATGCTGGGCAGATACCATAGATCCCTTGGTGTTGATTGTCCACAGGGCAAAGCACATGCAGAATATTACATTTGTCTAAGGTAGTTAGACTGTCTACATATTTGCATGTTTTTTCAGCCTATTAAGTTCATGTGAGCATGACCTGATGTTAAACATTACAGCTTCAAGCCATAAACACGAAGCCACGCTTTATAACTCTGACTATACGCGCAGCCTGTTCAAAGAGGAGCAGATCAAGCCTCTTGGCTCCAAACATGACAGGGAAGCAGCAGGTTGTGAAGTTGAGGAGATGAAGAGACTCGTCCAGGCCCAAATAAGGTAACATCTACAATCCCTTCAGTTGTTAAAATAAGGTTTAATCACTGTTATGTGTGTTTGTTTTGTTTTTTTTTTTAACTTGAGGCCAAGTAGCAGTAACACAGGTTAATTCCTCCTCTGTTTGATCAAAGTCAGTGTGATACAGAGAGGTATCCCATATGGACGAATGCCAAGAATGAGTTTGGGCTGTTGAATCCAAATGCAGTAATGCTAAAGGACTAGCCACTAACGATATGGGGTGTTTCTGTTTGGGTTTAGATTTGTCTCAGTTTCATCAGTTGATTTTATTCTGCATTCTACCAGCATATTGTTTTAATCCCATATATTTTGTCTGTCGATTCCAAGGGTGCTACATGAATACAGTACCTGTATTTTAGCCTTACATCGATACTACTTAAATCCTCCTCTGTAATCTTGTAAGGTGGCTGTTGATGGTTTGTTCTCATTAGCAATGAATAAACCAAGCTGTGGTCAGCCTGCAGCACTGCGCTGCTGTCCATCTCTATGCTCAGTGTGTTGCAGGCACTCACAGATTTGTCAAAATATGGCTAAGTTTGCTATTTCTGGCAGAGTTTCTGAGCTTTGATGAAAGCAACAGCTTAACATGGAAGCAGCATATTTAGCTGGTGCAGTGATGAGTATTTGGAACGTACTGAGAATACAGATGGACAACAGAGAAGTGGATTATGCGTGGTTTGAGAAGTTTTAATGGACATTTTAATACCGTTTTTCTACTGTGAAATCCTGTCAGTGTTGGAATTCCACGTTGTAAATGGCTGAATTCAAGCTGCTGTTCTTCCTCAAATGAGAAAACTACCGTCACTGTCTAGACCTACAGGTGGGAAAGTTTACCCCTGTGCACAAGCTGTTTCTATCCTAATGACTAAGGAAATTTAAAAAACACAGGTGAAATAAACTGTGAGTTGGCGAAATAAAATGTGAAAAAGTAATCTGTGTGTTTCAGTCAGTCAACAAGTGTTGCGAGCAACAGCCTAACTGTCCACATGGCAGCCGGTGCACTACACTGGGGCCCAGTCTTTTATATTTTTATTACACTTGTTGAAATGTTCCAAAAGCTGCATGTTCTACTGAAAATAAATATTTTTTCTTCCCACAGCTTATTTAATTTAATTGGTTACTTTCTTCTCAAAAGATGTGAAGAAAGCCTAATTTGACCGATGAGCTCACTCTCTGTCACTTGAGATAACGTAAGTGAGCGGACTTCTTTATTTTTTTCTTGACCTTTCAGCAAGAAACAAGAGTTCTTCAGCAAATGGACGATTAAGTTAGCAGCATAATGTTTAATAGTCCAAAAACAAAAACGGCGATAGAGGAGGAAGGATAGAAAGAAAAAAGATGGGGTTTACTGCTAAAGTGACTAAATTAGATACGTTTTTACTCACTATGCCTCAAGTTCATTGAGAGTTCAATGTTGGCGTGCAGCTGGAGGCTAACGTTAGCTGGAATGGCTATATTCTCAATAGAGAACAGCAGAGTCAGGAATTTGGACCTGAGCAGTGTTGTTAATGACTCTGCTGAGCGGGAGGCCCGGAGGATGAACTGCTAATGGGTGAGTACAGGTTTCTCTGTTTATGGAGCGGCTTCAGGGATTTAAAGAAAAATATTTGCACCAGGGCCAATCAGAGTTATGTTATGCTACAGGTTGGGCGTACACTCAGAAAAAGACACGACATAATCACCGCCCCTTCCCACCTAAAAGGCTGTTCATGTCATTTTTAAGAAATTAATTTGTGTCCTCTGTCGACATCCACAGTGTGGTGTTTCTGTGAGTTGGAATTTCCCCTGCAGTGTTTCCCATATCTGTCAGGACAGTACACCCCGGTGCCCTTGCTGCTCTCCACACCTCATCTAATCATTGTTTTCCCGTTTCCTATATATGTACTCACTCTGTTAGTGTGTTGTGGTTGCTGAATTCACTGCTTTCACGTGTGAGTGTCACAGGGATGTTATCTTAGTTCGCTGTGCCGCAGCTTGACAGTCGCCTGCTGACTCTGCTGACCTGCCATTAACATGCGTCTCAGCTGTTTCGATCACGGGTGGACAGCTCTGAGCACGTCAGCTCACACCTGGCTTTAGAATGAGCCTTGAGTGACCACTTGTGATGGGATCTCACCTCCCTGCTCTGTATGCACATAAACACATACGCATTGTTGTTTTTAACCAGTCTGACAATGACAGAAGGATCTGACAGAGAGAGAGAGAGAGAGAGAAAGAGAAGGGCAAGGAAGGGTTGAGCGAATCAACGCACGGCAATGAAATAAGGTTTTTAGCCTTTTGAAACAGTCAGATAGCATTGAGGTTTTTTTTTTGTTGTTTTCTTTTTGAAAATACATGTCTTCTTTTTTCTCTTTCACAGATCAGATGGAAGCTTTGTGAAGAAAAGAGAGAAACCTGAACATTGCGTGGTTGTGGCAGTTGCTTGCCATTGGCTTGTCTGTAGAGCAGTATCTCAATATTGTGGTTCATGCGATAGCCCTAAGAATGACATGATGATGATTTATTTTATTGTATTGTAACATATTGTATTGAATTGTGAACAGCAGAAGAAGCAGAAAAGGTTACTGAAATATTACTGTCTATTTGAACTGTTTCCATCTCATTAGTGACAAATGCCAAACATTGTTCCTTATATTTCAGTCGACTGATTCTCAGGTTTTTTTCATGCAGAAATTCAAAGTGGGGCATTCAAACAGGAAATGTCATGGGGGTAACAGAAACAAACCTGCACCTCTGCTATTGAAGCATGCACTGGGAAGAAGACACACTAAAGATTGTTTTATGAAGACAGACCCACAAAGGTTATTATTGGAAAAAAAAAAAAAACGCCAAACATGTAAAGTCCAGGATCAAACTGTAACAAATCCGTCACTGTTTTAACATTGAATATTTCAGCATATACAATAAATCCCACATGTCAGGCCTCACAGCACCAGGTTCTGTCAGCGAGCTCGCACTACTGAGATTACACACAGCCCACGTAAAACTCATTAAGACGTTACACGAACAAGGAGCTGAAAACAACTGAGCGAGCAGAAGCAAAGAGCCAATCTGCTGAACGTGTTTTACAAGACACGAGGTAAAATAAACCTTCAGTCCATCTGAATTAGCTTGTTCTGTGTTCCTCCGGGCCTGATGTAAGGATTGCAAACATATGAGTGTGGTATGTCTGCTGATCTCATTCACAGCAGTCATATAGTTCTGTTTTTCCACAATTATGTTTTCAAATCAGGCTTCTCCGGAGAAAGTAGAACTTGATTTCATTGTACGGAGCAGAGCTTGTTCTGTTCACTCACAGCTTTTTTTTTTTTTTTTTTTTAAGTACAACTTCTGATCTTTTATTGTACAAATACTGTGGTGTCAGAATCAATATTAACTGAACAGGCAAAGAATTTTTTGATCATTGATAATAGCTTCCCAAGGCTGTGTGAGCTACTTTGTAAAACCACCGTGGTTTTGTAACCAGCTTCTCTTGACTGTTTTATCAGTGGATGTGCCTCCTGTCATACGGACTCCTGCGGGCGTCTGTGTAAAGAGGGACAAGAGCAGGACAAAAACCCTGAGGTGAGCCCAGAGTAAAGGCTCACCACTCAGACATAACCCTGTTTAACCTTTCCCCCCTGAGCCTCCCTCATGAAAAAAAAAACCCTACAGTTCAGCCAAGTCAACCCACATGTGATTTAAACTGAGTCACATGGAAAGTTGGATCTCATCCAAACCGATTGAAACAACAGTTAAAAAAAAAAAAAAAAAGAAGATTAAAAACGTTTCCTGGAGTGTGACAAACAGCTCAGACTAAAGTTCAGGACCCATGAATGGCCAGACAGACGATCCATAGCCGTCATTGATGAAATAAAAATCCCACAGGCGGCTCCCCTTGCATCACGAATGTGCACTGGAGGAGGCCCATCAACAGCACCACAGAGAATCTACAGACTGAAAATAGCTGTGGATCAAGAGGAGCAATCAGTGGACTACATGTTGCGTGGAAACAAGCGGGGGGCTGATTACCTCCAGTTGGTTCACCCCGGAAAACTGATGCCAAATCAATTCTGCAAGGTGCACGTTTGACAAACACGCTGAAATGGTTTCACCAAATGGAGGAAATTCATGGAGCCCGTCCAAAGCAGAAGTATTTTGGCACAGAGTTCAATGTGATAACTTTGTCAGTATGAAGGCCGTGTCTGCAGAGACTCTGAGAGATCTAGTGGCTTGTTTCAGGATTTGTCTCGTCTGATGATTCAATTCACTTATATGAAGGTAAACAGAGAAATTAACATCAGTCACAGGATAATAAGAGGATGATAATTAACTAAGTAGATCAGAAGAAGAGTGAACTGCTT